GAGTCATGTTGCAAAAACGCTTAGATGGGGTTTAAGGCGAAGCGACATGGCTTTGACTCTCCATATTTTAGCACTGATTGATTTCTTAAAAAAGCCTTGGTAGCAACTAGGCTCACCTTGAAAAAGGACACAATCCGATGCTTGAAGTAATTGCGCCGACTCGTCTCACATTCTTCCGTATGTTTAATCTCTGCTTCTGGCGTTTCCCTTGTTGGAGAGACGAAGCAAGGATTTGACAGTGAGAGATTCACATGCTCTACTACGGGTGAGGAGGGGGACGGAAGGCAGCCGGCAAAGGTCAGCTTAGACAATTCCGTCGACGGCGAAGGCAACTCTTCAGCGACGTGTCGTTTAGTATCCGCGTTATAAAGGCCGAGTACTTTCGGACGATCCAATGAATCATTTAGTCCACGTTTGCCGTTCTCATTTACTCGTGCTGAGGTGATTGCGGAGAAGTCACGGGGCCGATCGAAGAACACACAATGAGTCGAGGCTGATTTCGGCACTTTCGTTGCTGGTGCGGTGGTCGGGTCTGTGTCCTAAAAACATCAACATGACAAGATGCGGAGATTTTCTAGTAAGCTCTGAACTCTCCAAAAATTTACCTCCGCATCAAACTCTTGTTTAAGTGAAAGTGGCCGATCTACCCGCTTTGATGAGGCCTCTGCCGATAAGAGGCCCTTTTTGATTAGTAGCTGCTCGTATTCAAGCAGTTGACCCATGAAATTGAAATTTGGAGATATTGACGGCCGCTTCTCCTTCACCAATCTCAAAAAAAAAAACATTTTTTTTCACCATCGCGGCAAAATTTGTAATCTTGAATTCATATAAAAGTTTCATACCTATAAGCATCTTCAGAGGACATATTCTTGTATCGCATTACATAGGATATGGCTAATGTAGGACTGCGTGATATTCCGGCTAAACAGTGAATGAGAGCAACACTTCCTGACCGCCGAACTCCTTCTAAAACACATCTTTCAAAAATATTCTCCAGCAAGGATCAAATTTAACCCAATAATTCGATCAATTTATTGTTAGAGACTGTATTCG